GAGAGGGAGAAGGAAAAGGAGAAGGAGAAGGTGAAGGAGAAGGAGAGGGAGAAGAAGGAGAAGGAACACAAGAGAGAGAAGATGGTAAAGGAGAAGGGAGAACAAGAGATGGCGGCAGCTGCAGAGTCCAGGCGGAATCCAGTCAAGGGGAGAGCTGGTGCCCGTCCAAAGCAGCGGTGGGGTAGCGACGTGACTCTCGAAGCAGCAGTGGGGCTGGTGAGTGGCAGTGGGGGGGGGAGCAACACAGCTGGGTCACTTGAAGGAGTTCTCAAAGGGGGTTGCTTGCAGGCATTGAGAAGTTTAAGCAGTTTATGCGTCCTTGTGCACACAAATCACCTCATCTCATCTCATGTCTAATTCCTCAAACCTCATCGTTGCTTTCCAACTGCATTCTGTCACACACCCTGTCAAAAACATTGCCACATTTCCACTTCCCTGCACTCTTATTCCACACTGCTTGATGATTCCCTTGCTTCACTGCGTTTCCCTTGTCCTTCATTTCCGTTACCTCGCGCGTCCTGTCAGGCTCAAGCAGGTAACTACGAGGCTGCAGTTGAAGCATTTGCACAGGTCAACTTCCCTCCCCTCTCTTTTCCTCCCTGCCACTTCGCCTCCCTCTCCTTCCCTTTCCATTCCCATTTCCCATTCCTGCCGTTCCCTTTCCCTTCCCTTCCCGTTCCCTTCCCTCCCCCTCCCTTCCCTTTCCCTTCCGTTCCCTTCCCTTCCTTTTCCTTCCCTTCCTTTTCCTTCCCTTCCTCTTCCCTTCCCTTCCCTTCCCTTCCCTTCCCTCCATTCCCTGCGCACTGTCTTGTCTCTCGATCCGTCTTCACACAAGTCATGTGCTTGTTATCCTCATTACAGCAGTCTTCAACAGCATCTCTAACCCTAAACCCTGACATTTGTCTTTTACTTAAGCGTGGCTGACAGTTAACAGTTTCATCAGCAGGAATCTATCAATATTCTGAAGTAGCCCTGCTCACCTTCCCCCTGCCGCTCCCCTCCTCCGTACATTGAATCCCACCAGCTGGAGGAGCAGGGAGAGGAGGAGTCGGCAGGTCTGCTGGCATGTAGGGGCCACTTCTGCCCCCTCATATCCTCCCCTCACTTCCTCCCCTCACCTGCTCCCCGACTTGCTGTCCTCCCCTCCAATGCCACCAGCTGGAGGAGCAGGGCGAGGAGGAGTCAGCAGGGCTGCTGGCATGTAGGGGCCATTGCTGCCCCCTCATATCCTCCCCTCACCTGCTCCCCTCACTTCCTCCCCTCCACTTCCTCCCCTCACCTGCTCCCCGACTTGCTGTCCTCCCCTCCAATGCCACCAGCTGGAGGAGCAGGGCGAGGAGGAGTCTGCAGGGCTGCTGGCGTGGAGGGGGGCGGCCAACTCCCTCACAGGCCGCCACACGCAGGCCATCACCGACCTCACCGAGGTATGTGACTGCAGCGAGGTGACTGCTTAGGATATTGACATCACTGACCACACCAAGGTGCGTCACTGACCACACCAAGGTGCGTCACTGACCTCACCAAGGTGCGTCACTGACCACACCAAGGTGCGTCACTGACCACACCAAGGTGCGTCACTGACCACACCAAGGTGCGTCACTGACCTCACCAAGGTGCGTCACTGTAGAAAGGCAACACTTGTACCGCTCCGCTCCTCTCCTCTTACCGTGCCAAGCCTCGCCCATCCATACTTCACTCCACGTGCCTTTCTTCCTCTGCTCTTGGGTTGGGCGTGCCATTTTTCAGGCCCTGAAGATCATTCCGTCCGACCTGCCCATTTACCAGCACCTGCTGCAGCACCGAGCCGTCTCCCACCTCAAGCTGTTTTTAAGCCGTTCCTTTGCTCTGCTGCCTGCCCCTGGGTTGCGTGTGCGTGTGTGTCACTGGCAGGCCCTGAAGATCATCCCGTCAGATCTGCCCATCTACCAGAGCCTGCTGCAGCACCGAGCCGTCTCGCACCTCAAGCTGCAGCGATTCACAGAGGTGAGGTTGGGTGGGGCTGTGATGTGATGTACATTCAAGGGAGTGGAGAGTGGTTGTGAGGGCAGTGAGTACCGTTGCGTGTGACCCATGCCATGATGCTGAGTGCAATGCGTGTGTGCGACCCATGCCATGATGCTAAATGCAATGCGTGTGTGCGACTCATGCCATGATGCTGAGTGCAATGTGTGTGTGCGACCCATGCCATGGTGCTGTTATGGCAGGCCATAGCGGATTGGACTACCATGATCGATGCCGACTCGAGCAATGTAGCTGCCATTCGTGAGAGAGGTGAGTGAGAGAGGTGAGTGAGAGAGGTGAGTGAGAGAGGTGAGTGAGACACAGAGCACAACCATATGCCGTGTTGGCTTACAGAAGTCCAGACGGTATTTGGTGAGGTGCTATGTTCCACTAGTGCCGTATTTTATGCATCGCATATCCCATCCACCAACCATGTCATGCCCTCTCATCCCCAACTCATGCTATCCCATGCACCATCCACCCATCCCATGCACCGCCCATGTCATCACATGCACCACCCATCCCATCCCCATGCATCGCCCATGCCATCCCATGCACCGCCCATGCCATCCCATGCACCGCCCATGCCATCCCATGCACCACCCCTGCCATCCTTTGCACCACCCATGCCATCCTTTGCACCACCCATGCCATCCCATGCACCACCCATCCCATTTCATACACCACCCATGCCATGCCATGCCATGCCATGCACCACCCATGCCATGCCATGCCATGCACCCCCATGCCATGCCATGCACCACCCACCCATCCCTCCCCCACGTGGCAGGCATGGCTCGTGTGAACCGCAGGGCTTTCAAGGACGCCATTCCGGACCTCACCACCGCACTGCACCACTTTCCACACGAGCACACCCTCCGCCTCTTCCTGGTACAGTACATTTCCATGGCATGGCATGGCATGGAGCAGTGTATCCAGCTGCTGTGTGTGGATTGCTGCTCAGCGGGCATGTTATCCCATTCCCGTTGCCCAGGTCAACGCACTAGTACCCACGTGGGACGGCGGTCAGAGGGAGCTTTTGAGGCACTTCAACTTCCCCAGCACAAGCCCACTTTCCCAGTGCAATGCGCTATCCCATATGGGGCGGTGGCGGTGGGGGGCAGCAGCAGCACTGCAAGGGATGGTGGTCCTCCTTTCTTCTTGCTCTCGACCCTTGTCATCCCACTGCTGTCATTCCCCACCCCCTACTCCACTTCCCCACGGCAATGCACTATCCCGCATGGGCTGTAAATGGGAAGCAGCAGCACTGCAGGCCGTGGTGCAAGAGGTGCCATAGCAGGGGAGGCCTGGTGTGTGCTCGCCTCTCTCCCTGCTGCTTCAATTCCCCTCCCTCCCATCCCCTCTCCCCCACACCTTACCTCAGGGCAACGCCTTGTACCACATGGGGCGGCATTCAGAGGCAGCAGTAACGCTGCAGGTGGTGGTGCAAGCAGAGCCACAGCGGAGGGAGGCGTGGCGCGTACTCACTGCAAGTGATTTTTGAGAATTCTCAAAAATCACTCGGGAGGCGTGGTGCGAACTCACTTCTCTCTACTGTTATCATCCCCCTCCCTTCTCCTCCAGGGCAACGCCTTATACTACATGGGGCGGCGGTCTGAAGCAGCAGCAGCGCTGCAGGCGGTGGTGCGTGCAGAGCCGCAGCGGGGGGAGGCGTGGCGCGTGCTGGGGGACGTGCGGAGGGACATGGGGGAGGTGGGGGAGGCGGAGAGGTGCTATGGGCATGCGTTAAAGGCGTTTCCCAGGTGAGATGGATGGAGGCATTCAGGCGTGTGATGGGGAACAGGCGGACGGGCGTGGGGGAGAGGTGAGAAGCGTAGAAGTGCTATGAGATTGCGAGAATCCCAGGGGAAGAGGAGGTGCAATGGGTGGAGCCTTGGAGGCGTGGAGTGTGCTGCAGACGTGCGGAGGGATATGGGGGAGGGAGGAGGACAAGGCAGAGAGGTTCTATATGAGAATGTGCTCGCTGAATGGCAGGCCGAAGCACAAATGAGGGGATTCTATATGCTGCATACCTCCTTGCAAAGCCTCTTTGCTCCACCCATTAACTTCCCTCCGAGTAGTCACTTCTTCTCCACCCGCCCTTTCATGAATGAACGCCTTGTGTGCTGTGCATCGATGCGCCTTCCCTCCCTCCTTCCCCCCCGTCAACGCATGGTACTTTAGTGATATGCCCACGTTGCACTCGTGGGTGAAGCTGCTGCAATCCACCGGCAGACACAGGTGGGTGCAGAGCGGTTCAGATGGGTAGCTGTAGAAGAGGCACGTGCTTGTGAACCGTGAACGCACGGTGCGGCACGGCAGTGATATGCCCACGCTGCACTCGTGGGTGAAGCTGCTGCAATCAACCGGCAGGCACAGGTGGGTGCAGAGCGGTTCAGATGGGTAGAAGAGGCATGTGCTTGTGAGCCGTCGAGGTATCATGCGGTTATTTCTAACATGTTGCTGGTTGTGCTACCCATGCCACTCTCGCACTGCTGGTTGCGTTGCTGGTTGTGCTACCCATGCCACTCTCGCACTGCTGGTTGCGTTGCTGGTTGTGCCGCGGATTGTGTCAATCATTTCTTGTGTCGCTCTTTGTGTCTAAAACGGTCCTTTCATTGATGTAGTCAGCAGTATACAGGGTTCTCTCTTTGTGTCTCTCTCTCGGTGTCTCTCCTTGTGTGCTGCAAGCCAGGGAGGTAATCAACCTGATCTCAAAGTACCTCCTCTACCACCCCACTAATGTGGAGCTGCACTATTGGTTGGCATCATCGCACCACTCCTTGGCTGACTTTCCCAAAGCTGTGAGTCGAGCAGCTGATCGGATCAGCACGTTGAATCCAAGTCATATTGAAATCCCTTTTGAGAATTCTCAACTGTGAGTCGAGCAGTTGATCGGATTAGCAAGTTGAATTCAAGCCATATTGAAATCACTTTTGAGAATTCTCAACTGTGAGTCGAGCAGCTGATCGGATCAGCACGTTGAATCCAAGTCATATTGAAATCCCTTTTGAGAATTCTCAACTGTGAGTCGAGCAGTTGATCGGATTAGCAAGTTGAATTCAAGCCATATTGAAATCACTTTTGAGAATTCTCAACTGTGAGTCGAGTAGTTGATCGCATCAGCACGTTGAATCCTAGTCATATTGAAATCATTTTTGAGAATTCTCAACTGTGAGTCGAGTAGTTGATCGGATCAGCACGTTGAATGCAAGTCAACCGCACCAGCTCTGGCTGGTGCTTTTGAGGCTCTTCCAGTCTAGCCTTGACTCTGGCGGGTTTTTTTTCTAGAATTCTCAAAAAACACATGCTTTTGCGACTCTTCCAGTCTAGCCTTGGCTCTGGCGTCTGACATAGCATTACTTTGTTGGTTTAGACGCCATGCCTTGGGCTGCCATGCCACCTTTCAGACGACTTTTGAGTCGACTCAAAAGTCACCTTGCTCTTGAGGCTCTTCCAGTCTAGCCTTGACTCAGGCGTCGGACATAGCAATAGTTTGTTGCAGGGCTGACATGCCACCTTTCAGTCGCCTCAAGGCTTGGTCATGGTTTAGCAGTATTACTCGGTTGATCTTCCCTTTAGGCTTTAGTCACAGTTCACAAAGGTAACCTAGTGTATCCCCTCACCTCAGCAAGTTTGACAAACGCACCTGCCTGGTTGTGGTGGTGGTGGCAGGTGGACGCGTACAATCACGTTCTTAAGATGCAGCCACGTGACTACAGCGAGCGCCAGAGCCATGACATGGCATTCTACCAGGTGTGACTGTATGAGGAGCCAGCAAATGAGACATAGTTTTTGTTCTGTGAGATTGCTGCAGCAAGGAGAGCATGGTCGCTGACTCATGCCATGCTGCATGTGTTTGTACATGCCCCAACTCCCTGCACCCCCTACGCCATGTCTAACTCCCTGCACCCCATATGCCATGCCTCCCTGCATGCACCTGCATGCTTCACACTGCATGAATCACAGAGGGAGGTGGCAGTGTACATGGCAGCATGCATGGAGCAGCCTTTGGGCCGATTCAGCATCGACGACCACTTCCTTCCTCTCTTCAAGGTCTGCGTGCCCAGTAAGGACCACTGGACTCTGCCCTCCAAGCACAAGCCCCATGCCCGACGTACTGCACAAGTAGCGCAACACCCTCTTCGCTGCAGCCATGTGCTCCGGTCTGTGTCTCCCAGGAGCAACATAGCGTGCGAGAATGCTAAGAGGGTATGCAAGGTCAGGTCGTGTGCAGGTCATCAGGTACATGAGGCAGCCAACAAGCTCTGGGTACGGGCCACTCGACTCTACGGACTCATCCGAAGGCAGAGCTGAGAGCGAGTGGCGAGTAGGCAGAGGAGTGGCCTGAGGCGAGGAGTACGTGAAGCCGAAGCGCTGAAGGACCTGCTGCACCATGTGTGACTGAGTCAGGGTAATGGTGCGGCGTGCTCTGTCCCGAGTGATCTGCAAGCCAAGGTAGCTGCGCAGTTCACCCAGGTCAGTGCACGTGTGTCTCTTCTGCAGCTCGGACTTCACGTGGGCGAGTCCAGCAGTGTCAGCTATGGCAAAGACCAAGTCGTTGACGTACACGAGGATGTAGAACGGCGGCAAAGAAGTGTCGGTGCGCAGAAACAGCGACGGGTCGGCAGTAGAGGGAGCAAACCCAAGAGCCGCAAGTGTAGTCCTCAGTGTGTCGTGCCACTCACGCGGTGCCTGGCGGAGACCGTAGACTGGCCGCCGTAGGCTCCACTGGGTGCCAGGAGGAAAAGACCCAGTGAAACCAGGTGGGCGACGCAGCCAGATCTCCTCGTGCAGGCTGCCCTGCAAGAAAGCAGTGCTGAAGTCAAGAGAGTGTAGCTCGTAGTCACGGTGAGCAGCTACGTGCAGCAGTACCCGAAGAGTGGTCATCTTCGGGGTGGGAGAGAAGGTCTGAAAATAGTCAACTCCCTGCCGCTGACTGAAGCCTCGAGCCACGTAACGCGCCTTGAAGACAGGCGGAGAACCCGGCGGCCGCTTCACCCTGAAAATCCACATGCCACTGACGATGTTCGCCCCAGGAGGGGGAACAGCGTCAACGTAGGTGCCTGTGGACTTCCAGGAAGCCATCTCTGCGTCCATAGCTGCCTGCCACTGAGAGGAGTAGGGACCCTCTATCGCCTCCGCGTAAGAGCGCGGAGTCGGGATGTCAAGTGCATCCGGGTCTCCCTCAGGGGTAAGCAGTACGGACACGAGATGAGGTGAAGCAGCGGCCAAGCACTGGAACTCCTCCTGCCTGTCCTCAAGGACGTCCGTGCCAAGGGCACACTCACCCCCGACGGACGGAGGACAGACAGACTCAGACTCAGCAACAAGACTGGCGACATAGTCGAGGCGACAGCGAGCAGCAAAGTCGACGAGCTCAGCAACTAGGGCAGACGCAGCAGTGGACTCTAAGGACGTGTGACAACAGTAGCAAGGAGACGCGTGACAGTAGGACTGGCAGCACGAAGAGAGTCCGACTCCGGGTCGGCAAGAGCAGGAAGAGAAGACTCAGGAGGAGAAGGCAAAGGGGCACGCAGAGGAGCAGTGGACGGACGCAGAGACATCCGGTGCGTGCCAGGGACAGGAGGAGGACGCTGACGCGAACCACGACCACTAGTGCGAGCAGCACGGATAGGCGACGCAGGGCGAGACGCAGGCTCACGACGCTCAGCAAGACCTCCAGTAGGACCAGTGTAGGGAGACGGAGCAGGCAGTGGGGACGCCGGCTGTAACTGTAACTGCGACGGGACAGGCTGTGGACACTCTAAGGGAGGAGGAGGACCAGTAGAAGACGGGAGACCAAGAACCTGCTGAAGGAGCGGAACGAAGTACGGCCGAGGCCGCGCGGCGACTCCAGACACAGTAGGGACAGCACCAGCACCCTCTGTGGCAGCACCAGCACCAGTAGCAGCTCCAGCTCCAGTACCCCCAGCAGCACCAGCAGTACCCCCAGCAGGACCGCCGCCAGGACCGACAGTAGTAGTCTCCGCGCCAACACCCGCAGCAGCTCCAGCTCCAGAAGTACCCGCAGGTCCAGCAGCTCCAGGACGCCCAGTACGAGCACCTCCAGGACCCGTGGCACCAGCTCCCTCAGCAGCAACAGAAACTCCAGTACCCGCAGCTCCTCCAGCTCCAGCAGCTCGCCTCCAGCGCCGGGCAAACCACTCACGCAGCTCCTGTGGAGAGAGTGGCTCCCGGCAAGAAGAAGCACCCGGAGAACCGCCAGGCACAGCACCAGCAGGCCCAGCTCCCTCAGGCTCCGCACCCCCAGGCTCAGCACCTCCAGGCTCAGCACCCCCAGGCTCAGCACCTCCAGGCGTAGCACCCCCAAGCTCAGCACCCCCAGACGCAGCACCCCCAGGCGTAGCACCCCTAGACGCAGCACCCCCAGGCTCAGCACCCCCAGTCGTAGTACCCTCAGGCTCAGCACCCCCAGGCGTAGCACCCACACGCTCAGCACCCCCAGAGTCAGCACTCCCAGGCTCAGCACCCTCAGCAGCACCAGAGTCACCAGCGACCTCGACAGGCTCAACAGCGTCTACCTGGGACACACCTGAAGGGGCAGGACCCTGAGGGGGGAGGGGGTCTACCGGGGGGGGACCTGGTACCAGGAAGAGCGGTGGCGGGGGGAGGGACGGAGTGCGGTAGGGGAAGAGGCGGTAGTAGGGGACCGACTCGTCGAACGTGACGTCCTGGGAGGACAGAACACGGCGAGAGGTGGGGTGGTAGAACTGCCACCCTGAGGCGTCAGGGGGGAAACCCAGGAAGACGCAAGGAGCAGCACGAGGGGACAGCTTGTCCGCAGACAAGTCGCGGACAAACGCCCGAGATCCCGAGACACGGAACGCAGACGCATCGCCAACCTTCCCCGTCCACAGCAAGGCTGGGGAGGTCTCCGGCATGGAGACCTTAGGCTGAAGGTTGATCTGATGCGCCGCGTACCGAACCGCAAACGGCCACAGAAAATGGGGGGCAGCCGCATGCATCATGGACGTACGGGCGACGTCCATGACCATGCCCATGCGGCGCTCAGCAATCCCATTTTGCTGTGGAGAGTCCGGAAGCGTGAAGGTCTGGCGGATGCCTCGTGCACGACAGTAGGCTCGCAGAAGGCCAGAGGAGAACTCTCCGCCTCTGTCAGAGTGCAGACGCAGAACAGGAAAGTCCGAGCCGAAGCTCCGCCTGAGCTGGAGACGAGCTGCGCGGATCCAGTCGATCAACACCTCAGTGACATCACCCTTGCTGCGCAAGGGGAAGACTGTGGTGTAACGCGAGTAGTCGTCAACCACCAGCAGGAAGTAGCGCTCGTGACCCTGTCCACGGACGCGGGCCGGGCCCCACACGTCCATGTGAAGCGTCTGCAGCGGGGCCTCTGTCGGAGGAAACTGGGAGGAGTGAGGGGTAGCCCGCTGTCGTCCCTCGACACAGGGGACGCAGGTAGGGCCAGGCCCCGGAGGAAGTGGAGGGAGGGACCGGGGAAGACCAGGGACAAGGACACGGGAGGCCATGCTCCGGAGACGAAGCAGGGAGGGGTGACCAAGGCGGTGGTGCCAGAGGAGAGTCTCGTGAGACAGGAGGCGACACGAGCAGGGGGCAGACTCAGGACCAGACCTGGACGCTGCAGCAAACACCTGACCCGACGCAGCTACCTGACCAGACGCAGGGACCGGGGGAGACGCAGTGGTCAGTGTGTACAGGCTCGACCCCGGCCGACGTGTAAACGTGGCCAGGTGTCGGCCTGTCCGAGCGTCCGTGCAGTGGGTCACCCGCTGACTCGCAGGAGTGAACTGGTGAACCCCCGCATCCTGTAGGTCAGCACCACTCACCAAGTTCGTAGAGAACGAGGGGAGGTAAAGACCAGACAGGGTGCCAGAGGGGGCCGCCGGACACGGGAGGACAGTGGAGAAGTGAGCAAGGACAGGACCCTCAGAGGGGTCTGCCAGAGAGACCGCAACTGGCCGGCCAAGCGGCGTGAGTGTGGTGCGGTCTCGAAAGAAGGATCGAGAAGCCCCCGAGTCAAGGGTAAAGGTGTGGGAGGCCGAAGCTGACGCAGAACCTGAGAGAGCAGACTCACCAGTACCTGAGGGAGCAGACGCACCTAGAGCAGCAGCCTCGCTAGCACCTAGAGCAGCAGCCTCACCAGTACCTAGAGCAGCAGTCTCAATGCCCGGGTCGGGCGGAAAACACCGGTAACAGTCACCCTCATCACTAATAGTCACAGTGTACATGGCAGCAAGAATAGCATCAAAGTCAAGGTCAAAGACAGCGACACCCGCCCTAGACAGCTCACCCCAGCGGGGGATCTCAGTGGCCTCAGGGAACTGGTGACGCCAAGCGTCCGTCAGGCGGCCAAAGCAGCGCTGGGTGGAGTGCGCACCCCCACACTGCTCACCCGCGCGGTCGCCGGTGCGCAGGACCTAGGTGCACGGACCAGTACTCCCACCCCTCTGGCGTGCAGTGTACCACTCACGGAGCTGCTGAGGGGAGGGGACGTCACGAGTGCGCTGCTGCTGCTGCTGCTGCTGCTGCTGCTGGCGCTGACCACCACCGGAGCTGACCCTCTGCGCAGCGCCACCCCGACCAGCTCCACCTCCTCCGCCGCCTCCTCCTCCACCACCGCCACCTCCGCTCCCTCCGCCACCGCCGCTGCCGCCTGCGCCTCCACTGCCGCCACCTACACCTCCACCCCCGCCACCACCCCCACCGCCACCCCCACCTCCTCCACCGCCTCCACCGCCGCCTCCACCGCCCCCGCTAGCTCCTCCAGCGCCCCTGCCCCCCTTGCCCCTGCCAGGGCGGCGTCTCCCGCTAGGGGTAGACGCTGCCCCAACCGACTCCAAACCAGCGAGGTCGGCCGCAGCAGCAGAGGCAACAGAGGGCAAAAGAGGGGAGGGGGAACACCCCTCAAAGATGGGGGTGCGAGGGTCACCACGAGAGGCTCCTACAGCGACTATGCTCTTTTCTGCTGCTAGGAGGGCCTTCTCGAGGAGGTCAACGGTGAGAGTGGTGGGACAAACCGAGAGGAAGTGGTCCCTGACTACGCGAAGGGAGTCAGGGAGACGGGTGACTATGTAGTAGAGGGTGATGTACATGGGGGGGGGGTTCTTGGCGCAGAACTCAGCAGGAAGCGCAGCGCGGTAGCGAGTGTCACTAGTGCGGAGGTGCGTAATGAGGTCAGCGACTGTGGGAAAGGCAGCAAGGTCAGGGAAGAGGTACGGTAGCATGAGGCGGCTCAGTGCAGCAGTGGCAGGGGAGGAGTAGCGTGCAACTACAGCGTCGTACAAGGTCTGAGCACTCTTGTACTGGCTAAAGTGCGCACGCTCAGAGGTAGGTAGGTGGCGACGCACAGCAAGACGTGCAGCAGTATCGCGCGTGGCCCACTGTGAGCGAACAGTGGCGTCAGCATCAGCAGCGGGGGCAGGAGAGGCACCAGAAGTGAGGTCAAAGAGGGAGAGGCCGTCTGCTCTGTCGCACTGTAAGAAAAGCTGCAGGTCATCTATCCAGACGTCAAAGTCAATGGCCCGACCCTCAGCGTCAAAAGCGAGGACACTAGGGGTAGCCATGACAGCAGTAGACTAGCAGTGCAAACAGTAGGGTGAGGGCAGTGCTGTGAGAGAGGCGCTGCTCTTACCGGACAGGGCGGCTCGGGCGGCTCGGCTGCAGGGCGGCTCGGCGACTCGACGGCTGGGCGGCTCGGCTGCTGGGCGGCTCGGCGGCTCGGCTGCTGGGCGGCTCGGCTGCTGGGCGGCTCGGCGGCTGGGCGGCTCGGCTGCTGGGCGGCTCGGCTGCTGGGCGTATCGACGGCTGGGCGGCTCGGCTGCTGGGCGGCTCGGCTGCTGGGCGGCTCGGCTGCTGGGCTGCTCGGCGGCTGGGCGGCTCGGTTGCTGGGCGGCTCGGCGGCTCAGCGGCTGGGCTGCTCGGTTGCTGGGCGGCTCGGCGGGTGGGCTGCTCGTAGGAGTAGGCGCGGGGGCCGTAGGAGCAGGCGCCGGGGCCGTAGGAGCAGGGGCCGGGGCCGCTAGGGCGGCGGATCGGGGCCGCGAGGGCGGCGGATCGGGGCCGCGAGGGCGGCAGAGTAGGGGCCGCGAGGGCGGCGGAGTAGGGGCCGCGAGGGCGGCGGATCGGAGCCGCGAGGGCTGCGGATCGGGGCCGCGAGGGCGGCGGAGTAGGGGCCGCGAGGGCGGCGGATCGGGGCCGCGAAGGGCGGCGGATCGGGGCCGCGAGGGCGGCGGAGCGGGGCCGCAAGGGCGGCGGATCGGGGCCGCGAGGGCGGCGGATCGGGGCCGCGAGGGCGGCGGAGTAGGGGCCGCGAAGGGCGGCGGATAGAGCCGCGAGGGCGGCTCGAAGGGGCCGCGAGGGCGGCGCGAAGGGGCCGCTAGGGCGGCGCGAGAGAGGGGAGCGCGACTCGGGCAGGGGCTGAGTGCGCTCCGGGCAGGAAAAAAAAAACGGTGGGCCCTAGGAACAGTTCCCACGGGGGAACCTGCTCGATACCTTGAGAAGAAACAAGGAATGAATGAACTATGAATGAATTGGGTACAAGTAATAACCCTAATTGGGTTGTACCCCTTATGGGCTGCCCCACTATAGCCTACACAATATGCATGAGCTATAATGTTCTGACAGGGGGGTGCCCGTTTCTGAATGCGCCGCTCATCATGTTCCGTGCTTGTATGCAGAAAGTGCTGGGCACAGTGTCGGACGGGCATGTCGGTGCCGGCGTGCTTTCCGCGACGTCGTTCGGGTGGGTAGCGAAACAGATCGACCATCTGACAGGCGAGAAGGGTCGTAGTGGGGTGAGCATCGAGAGCGTCGGGATGAAGGGGCTGAAGGCTTTGCGCGACAGCATGGACAATCCGGAGGGTCGTGTCGCGTATGCACGGGCGTTAGCGGTCTCCGCCTTGGCCGAACACGTAGATTCGGTGGTGGGCGATGCGAAGAAGGGGTTGGAAGAGTACGTCTCGAATCACCTTGCCTCCGCGCAGGTCAACATCGCCACCGCTGTGACCGCCAGGCTCGCCGTGCCGCCGCCGCCACCGCCTCATCCCACGCCGCCCGCCATCCCGGAAGAGCTTTTGAAGTCGTTCAAGGCCGACATCATGAAGGCGGTGACGGAGGCCACCCAGCAGTCTTTCGTTGCTTCTGGGATGAAGATGATGACAGAGATGATCGGCACTGTGGCGCCAGGTCGACGTGGGTCGTCGCCTTCGGCCAATGACGCCGATAACGCGCAAAGGAAAACGGCCGAGAAGCAGGGCCATAAGAGGACGGGCGACGGAGACGACAAGGAGAGCTCGAAGCGGAGCAAGGGAGCGGACGGTAGCCGCGGGTCGAAGCCTGCGCAACAGAGCGTGGTCGACCAGCTGAAGACGAAGGCGGGGTGGAAGGTGGTAAGGACGTCGCACAGCAAGGGAGGCGGAAGCGGGGGAGCAGAGGGTGGCCCTGCCGACGGGGTTGCCGCTAACGTAGCTGCTCCGACTGGCCCGCCTTTGGTCGCCGAGCAGACCCATCCTCAGGCGAGCGGTGGGAAAGGCGTGACCGACAAGGAGGTGCCAACTGCTCAGGCGGCGAATGATGGCGACTCCGGAACCACCAAGGGACCGTCCGTCGCGGCGGCGGCCAAGCCTGCTTCTGCTACGGTTGCCGGCACCACCAAGTCGAGTCCCCGTAACCCCCTTGCGGCTACCAGCGCGCCTGCCGGCCAGTCAGGTGCGAACAAAGATGGGGAGGCTGCTCCAGCTCCAGCAGCCCCGGCCGCCGCCAAGGGCGTCGCGAAGGCTGCTTCGGCTAAGGGTGATGCCGTGGCATCAGCTAAGGCCCCCCCCGGTGGTACCGCGCTCAGGGAGATGCTCCGCCGCATGGAGGCACATAGCAGGGACGTGCAGCAGCATCCCGTGGTCGACGCCGGCCTTCCTGGAACAGCACGTCGCTCCGTCACTACGCAGGTTGCCGGCAAGTCGTCCGGTGCCCCACCTGCCGCGCCTCCGGTGGCCGCCCCACCGCCTGCGGACCCCAAGTCTGCTTTTCTTCGCGCACATTTAGGCGCACGCAAAGCGGCTGCTCCGTCAGTGACCCAGCCGGAACTCGGCAAAAGCGCGATGCCGACGTCGGTAAACGCGACCGCACCCACACCAGGTGCATCTGTGGTCGATGTGGCGGCGGAGAAGGGAGTGAGTGCAGCGCTCGCCACCGGCGGCCGCGCAGACAAGCATGCTGACCTCGCTGTCGTCATGGCCCATTTTGAGGCAGCAAAGCGCCCCGAGCACGCCCCTGTTATGGCCATCATGGACACGGCGCGCATGTGGTGCCGTCGGCGACCCACGGAGGGGGTTCGGCGGAGCAGACGGCCGCAACGGCTGCTGTCGCCGAGAGAAATGCTGGACGGAAGGAAAAGGACGACAACGGGAAAGGGAAGGCGGTCTCTTAGAGGAGCACGCGGGCGATGTCTGCGGGGAAGTTGATGTCGGAAGAGAAAGGGAAGAAGGCGGAAGGGGAGCAGGACAAGACGGGCGGCAAGGGTAAGCTGGCGAAGAAGAAGGAGAAGGCGGAGGAGGAGGACGAGGAGGGCGGCGAGGGAGATAAAGAGCATGGACGCAGGGGTCATGGCATCCGCCGAGACAAGGCTAGTGATGGGCAAGGGTGGGTGGGCGAGATTAAGGTAAACGGACAGAATCGGTACATCGGCAAGTCGAGGGAGAAGATGGAGCTGGCCTACGAGCACGCGATTGCGTTCGTCGTCTACGACGGCTACGTGAGCAAGGTGCTCATGAAGGAGCTCACCGTCTTGAAGCCGGGGGAGTTGGATAAATGGAAGGAGGTGTGGGCGGAGGTCAAGTTCTTGCCGACTGGGATGTGGACGGTGATGTGGGCAAGAGGCTTGTGCCATCCGAGAGCACGGTAAGACGGATCCTGACGTGCCGAGTTCTGTCGACCAAGTCGTGTCATTACGCTGATGTTGACGAAGTCGTGTCATTCTAATGTGTTTGCGCGGCAGGTTCGACGACATACTCGGCAGGTACCGTGGGTACGCGAGTTCGGGTGATGCGCTTCATGACGTGCTCTGGCTGGCGATCTGGTTCCCCATCATCGAGGACACGGAGGAAGGCAAGGAAGAGACGGACGCTCTCATGTCGGCGATGGTAAATCGCGTGTCGATGTGCGCGGCGTATGGGAAGGTCGCGGCGAGCGCGGCGTTTGGGAAGGTCGATGCGAGCGTGGAGGGGAAGGCGGACGAGAAGACGGAGATGGGGGCCCAGGCGTTAGCGGCATCGGCATGCGCCATCTGGTGCTTCTTGGAGACGGGGGCGTCGGTGCTCGGTGCTGTGGGCGAAGGGAAGGCGGCGGCGATGGTGGCAGGTGCGGGGGAGGCGAGGGCCGAGGACTTCAAGTAGGTGATGCACGCGGTGATCGACATAGCACACAGTAGGCAGGCTCCCGCGGGGGAGGTTGCACATAACGTCGCGCCATTGCTGCAGAGCCAGGCAGTGGCCAGGGCCTTCGCGAAGGGAGTTGAGGAAGTCGAGGCCGACATGATCGCAAGAGCGACGGTCGAGACCTTGGCGTTCCGGGGAATATGCCCCGTCGCCGGGCCCAAGCTCAAAGCGCAGGGCATCGATGTGCCGTGTGACGCGAGGATGGAGTACGATATGGATCACAGGGGGAGGAAGGGGGAAAAGGTCAAGCAGAGCAAGGGCAGCAGCAAGAGGAAGAAGGGCAAGCAGGGCAAGGGCAGTACGGATGCGTAGTTGGCGGGCTGTGGTGTGCAGGGTACTATTGTATGGTCGGCGCCGATGTCGTAGTAATTCTAATGACTTTTGTATCGTAGGGCACAAATCTTTTTTGTTTTTTAGCAAATCACTGTCCACATTGAAACTTGCTAGCCGACTTTGAACGATGCGCTTTGTCGGCGCATATGTCGACATCAAAAGGAACATGCTACTCGGCGAGCAGCGATGATAGAGAAGGTAGACACATGCTACTCCGCGACGAGTTCTGTCGGCGAATATGTCGACACCCTAGCAACATGCAATCCTGCGAGACGTCGACATCGAGCTGTGTTTAGATGTCAGCAAGGATATTATTTTTGTTTCTTACTGAGCGACCGACTACATTTAACACAGCGGGACCCAGTAGGTTCGCAAGGGCCTTGCAGTGGGTTGTTACAAACTACCGGAACAGCATTTGGAAAAAGAAGGGAAGGGGGGGTGGGGGGGGGGGGGGGGGGGGGGGTGTACAAATCTGCCACAGTTAACAGCATCGAACTACGCACACGCATATCCTACAGGCGCGATCATGCCGACTTCTTGCGCTTGGTCGGAGGACGGTGCACCGGAGCGGTCGGCTTGGCCGGTGCTGTCGACTTGGCCGGGGCCGTCGGCTTCGCCAGGTCGGCCTTGGTCTTCGGCATCTGCTCCTCCCACGTGTTTGGAAACAGGGTTTCGACCCAATCACTCTGCTTCAGGTTGAGCGCCACAAGCGCACAGGCAAGGCGTAGCTTCGAGACCACCTTGGGGCCCAGCCCCTTGACTCCCAAACCAGGCTCTTTGGACAACATCGGTGCCGTTCCCGGTTTGAGCACCGTGAGGGCATCGGCGAAGGTCCCGATGCCCGATGCCGCGATCCTGTGCAGTGTGTCGACCACGGCCTCGGTGTCGGCATCGCCGTCGCTCGTGCGTAGCTGGCGCACCGCATCCATGACCTTCAGCATGCGGCGCACCCTCTTGTTGAGTGCACCCTGCGTAGCGCCGGCGAGGAGGGTATGGCGGTCGATGAACCCCGGCTCGGCGATCCTGTCGCAAAGCCGACGGGTGTCATTAGCGGTGGCGGAGTTCCAGAGGCGCCAGGCGTCCCTCACGGTCTTGGCCTCCCGCCACGGTTGTACCACGTTGAGCTCGTAACTAGCCTCCTTGTGCGTCTGTGGGGGTGGCGGGGGTTTGTCGTCCCCTCCGTCGGCGCCGGCTCCCATGTTGGCCGAATCCGCCGAGCCACCCTCGCTGGGAGCTTGCGCGGTAGCACACGGCGGGGCCTCCGGCACTCTCCGTGCTTCTGACACACGGAGTGCCTTGGTGAGACGGGTTATCTCGGCGGTGAGAGACGCGATGGTGTCGTCGCGCTTCTCGAGCTCCTCCAGGAAGTCAATCTTCTCGTTCGCGGCACGCTCTATCTCCTTCGTCAGCTTCGCCTTGAGGGATATGTTGTAGTACTCGGTGTCCATGCGGACAGAGATTTCCTGCAGCGGTAGGACAAAGACGTTAGCCGCGAGGTGGTTTGGAATGCCCTACAGCCAGCTCGTCGTCGACTTACCTCTGCCTGAATTTGGGTCGGGTCCCGACGCTTGTTGATCGTCTCGGTGTCGACCCTCTCGACCCGTTTCGCCCAGTGCTGGAAGAGGGGGATCTGGCAGAGCAGGGAGCCTTGGACGTACGGGTGCCATGGTGTGCGGACCAGCTTCACCGCTAGGTCCTCGGCGACGATGCGGCGCAGCATCTGGAGTGTGCGTCAGAAGTGCACCGCGGCTTTTTCGGCGTCGGACCCCTCGGCAGCCTTCCCTTCCGCCTGCAATTCGTCACGTGTATTAGGAGTTCAGACACTGTTGGCAACACGACTCGGAAACAAGGATACGAGGGCGTCGACTAACATACCGTCTTCAGCATGTCGTCGACGCCGGGGAAGATGTGCTCGGCGAGGAGCTTCAAGAGCTTATCGGAGGGCTCCACCCTGCTCCGGCCCAAGAAGTAGTCCTGCTTGTAACCAGAGTAACCGGCCTTCTTCATCACCACCCCCACCGGAATGGCGGTGATGTACGCTCGCGTCATCTTGTCGAGCGCCCAGTGACCCAGCTCCGTGATCTCGGCGCGCGGCGTGCCGTCGATGGCCAGCTCCTGGGCCCCTCCGGTTCGAGCGGCGTGCACGTTCCTCTTGCAGAAGACCCCGTTTTTGTCCCACAACTGCCGCGTCCAGCGTTGGTGGCTTGCCGCAGAGAGCTCTCCTTGGTCGGTGTCGTTTTTGGCGAAGAAGAGGTGCTTCTTGTACCAGCTCGCGCGTGTGCTGGTGTCCACCGGCGGAATGAGGCGGACGCCGTGAAACTGGCCGATCTGGTCGAGGATGAAGTGCAACCACAGGCCCGTCTCGCCGACGGCGCACAACTCCGCTTCGAGGTGCCGCGCAGCGTAGCTCTGCTGCAGACGCGCATCCTTGGACGTTTTCGAGTTCCGCGCAGCGATGACCATGACGACCGGCTGGTTCTCCGGGTTCACCGACGAGGTGCTCGCCAGTCGGTACAAGAATATGTCGGGGAGCGTGATCTCGCGGATGCTTGCACCGCGCAGAAGAGAGTGGTGGGAGAGTAGCGTGAGCACCTTCAACAGCAGAAACCGCCATAGCGTCTGCGACGGGCCCGTACCCCGCGGGTTCCACGCCTTGGCCGCCCACGTCGGCAGCACCCTGAACATGATCTGGCGGAACTGCTCGGCGGTGTAGGTATCGCCGATTGTTCCGCGACGCCGATCGGTGCAGTTCCTGCCGACAATGCCGAGGGTGGGGGGCAATTAGGGCGGCGTCGACTCAGTACAAGACAACAAGAGGTTAAACAAAAACTCACTTGATGTCCCGCTCGTTCTTGGTGCGGATCATGAACCGCACCTCCGACCTGACCACCGATATCTCTCGCATGATGCTCAGCTCCGTCTCCCGGTATATCGTCGTCTCCACTCTCGCCGCCATCTGGCATGCCTTTATGCGGCCGAGGAGCGTGTGCACCGTTGTAGATTGCACAGGCTGTGTTCCTGTGGCGTTGTCGCCCTCCTTGCTGGACTCGGCATCGAGATTCAACTCCCGAACCATGTACTTCACGTATGCGCGAAGCCGGGACTTGGTGACCCTAGGGCCGTGCAGCCACACGTACGACCGGGGGACATCGGCCTCTTGGTCCCAGTTTTTCTTCTTGTTGTCCCGGATGTAGTGCCCTATCTCGTCGACGTGCTTAAGCCTGTACTCCTGTGGAAGCTTGTTGCGAATTTGCCTCAACATCTTCGCCGCCCACCTCTTGTAGTGATAGATCCACGAGGTGTACTGCCTCAGCGTGCTGTTCCTCTCCACGGTTTGCAGGTGGCATAGGGCGTCCAAGACGAGCACGTCGATGGTCGCGTACACCATGTCTTCCTCGACGAAGTCTGTCGCCCTCCACTGTTCGCGCGGCACCGACAAATTCTCCTGGTCGGCATCCTCGTCCTGTTCGAGCAGATCATCTATGTATTCAAGTTCCCGCCTGAGCCGTTCTTCCAAGGTGCGCTGACTAGTGCTATGCGGCGAACGCTCGTCGTTTTCGTCATCGCTTTCCTCCTCCTCCTCCTCCTCCCCCCCATCCTCCTCCTCATCGACCTCAACCTGGTTTCCAGAGCCGGTCGGTGCCGACGAAGTTCCTGGCCGTCCATTTCGCGTCGGATTCTGTTTTTTATTCTAATTAATTTCCCCGATCGGCGGTGGGGGAATGTCCTTGGTGAACTCCCCTTCTGGAATCTGCGTCAGCTTGTCAAGATCGTAGAGTAAGGGGAGCGTCTCTTCCTCGGTAGATGTCGGACTGTGGTCGGTGGATGGTCTAGCGTCAGTCATGTCGACGTCGGCCATGTGGCAGCACTTATGTTGCTCTACCGTCGTCCGTGTGCGATGCGGAGGTCGGTAAACCAGAGACGGTACTGATTCACGGGTGCGGTGTACGACCGAAGAGTAGCGCGGCGGTCTTCCTCTAGATAACGTTCAATAACGTCTAACTCGTGTTCGACCTCGAGATTGCGGGGGTTGGTAAACCAAAGACGGTACTGAGTCACGGGTGTGGTGAACGCCCGGAGAGTTGCGCGGCGGTCTTCTTCGAATTCTCGGTCGAGTGAGTCTAACTCGGCTTCGACCTCGAGCCGTTCCAGCTCCGCTTTGATGTCGGCATCTACAGAGTCGGCGGGGGGTGGAATGGGTTGCGGTTGTTGGGCTCTAGGGCGACCTCTGGCCATGTGTCGCCGACTTGCACCGATGTTTCGCTAAAACAGCAGACGTCGACGTCGACTACTACTGACCAAGTCGGCAACCGAGTAACCTACAGGCGCGATGACAGACTGGCAGCTGAAAATTCTAACTGCACGAGAGAGCAGGAAGAAACGCAGGAACGGACATGGGAATGAGCAGGCCCGCACGGTCACGGACGGGTATGGTCCTGAGCGACTCCGATGCTGCCGCGCTTCACGCACACCCCTATGCTACTGCCGCCGTGCATGTGTTCTCGCATAGGCGGCGCTCTGCCCGAAGTGCCACGTGCCAAGCATGGCTAATGTTACTTCGCGCTGCACCGAAGGGGCGTAAGCCAGGCCCTTTCCACGGTGGAATGGGCGTGTGTTACGTGGCTTGGGGCCAACATTGGCCTCTCAGTACCGAAATTACAGCATGCCGACTCGAATCTCCCAGGGTCCCGGATTTATTGAAGCCCACCGTGGCAGTCCTAGCGTGGGCGCCCGAAGATCGGCGCCGACTTACAATCGGCGCGCTTGATTGTTTCTTTAGGTTCATTGAACCTAGACAGTGTTGAGATTGTGCCGCGTGGCTTGGTTGTGGGCCTTTGGATGAATTGGTCGACACCGACATCGCGTGCAACTCGCGATGCCACAGAACAGTTACATCCTGGACGGTCCGATTTTTGTCGCGTGGATCGCGCTCTGACATTTTCAAAGGTGTGAACGTTTTCCCGCTTTGGGAAAATCACCGCTGGAGCGACGCGTGGCCACGACGGCCACGTCGTGGCAGCCTAGTACACGGTGGGGACGGTCTGGATCCCCCCTATTGGTCCGCGTGGCGGCCGTCGCGGCTTGACGTGGCGAGCTTTCCTATTTTGTCCGCTGAGATTTACTTCTCTGGAATCTCCCAGCGCAAACCTATGTCGTCGGATTGTCGACATTACCGAGGGCTCCCGAGGCCCCTGGGACGCCATTTGGGCCCAGTTTGGAGCTCGGATGTCGTCGCGAGCTCGTCAATCCCGAGGGGGGCCGTTGTCCCTTCTGAACCGCGAAATTGGGCGGCGTTTTTTGGCCGCTGAGGTATATCATCCCAAAAAGCCCTGATAGCAAATTCGCCCTGGCACGGTAGTTTCGTGCTGTCAGAGCACAGCGAATTCGCCCAATCACAGTTTTGCGCCGTCAGAGAGCAGAAAAATTGCCCAATCACAGCGGAATTACCCTGACACAAGAGCAGATTCGCCCTTACACGAGATTCGCCCTGTCAGACCCTGTTGTGAGTGCTGCTTTATTATGTTAGTATAGAAAACTTAGCTCACAAAATAGTAGCCGAAACAGGCTTAGCCTAAAACTACCCTGCTCAAATCAGGCTATAGGTTGATTTACCCTGCTGCAAACAGGGTACGAAAATTTTTACCCTAGGGGTCGGGCTAAGGAGGGGCTGGAACCCTGATTTGTAAGGGTAGGCCTAAACCAATTTTGGGCCCTGCTGGGAATGCTTTGTGCATCAAATAATAGACTGTATCACTCAGTGTATGCACTACTGAGCGCCTCGATAACATCCCTGATGGTGGGGAAGTGCTCTCGCATGCTGGAGACGGTTCTTGTGTTAAATCAAACTTTACCGTACAATACATTACTCGGTGAATGCGCTACTGAGTGCCTCAATGACATCGCCAATAGTGGGGAAGTGCTCTCGCATGCTGGGAATGCCCCTTGAGTTGGCTCGAACATTACCGGTACATTACATCACTCCGTGAACGCACTGCTAAGCGCCTCCATAACATCGCCAATGGTGGGGAAGTGCTCCCGCACGCTGGGAATGCTGGCAGCACCTGGAGTTTCCACCAGCGATGAGGAGTAGAGCCAGGAGGAAACCAAGGCTTACGATCTTTAGAGGGCCAGGCTGCATCACTCGGTGAATGCATCACTGAGCGCCTCGATAACGTCGCCGATGGTAGGGAAGTGCTCTCGCACGCTGGGAATGCTGGCAGCATCTGGAGCCGGCACCAGCGATGGGTAGAGCCATGATGAGACGCTGCTGATGAAGATGTCGGAAGAGGGGCAGAGGATGGACTCCCAGTCCACCTGCACACGGCACCAAGGGGCATGAGAGGATGGGTGGTAAGGACATGAGTGAGAGGCACTGGCAGCCGGCACGATGGTAGAGCCAGGAGGAGACGCTGCTAATGAAAATATCGGCTGAGGGGCAGAGGATGGACTCCCAGTCCACCTGCACACGGCACCAAGGGGCATGAGAGGATGGGTGGCAAGGAGGTGAGAGGCACAGGTAGCCGCCGCGAGCGATGGGTAGAGCCAGGAGGAGACGCTGGCGATGAAGATGTCGGATGAGGGGCAGAGGATGGACTCCCAGTCCACCTGCACGCAGCACAGTGGACTATGAGAGGATGGACTCCCAGTCCACCTGCACGCAGCACAGTGGACTATGAGAGGATGGACTCCCAATCCACCTGCACGCAGCGGGATGGAAAGGACAGGACAGAAGTGAGGTTACTGACACCTGCACGCAGCGGGATGGAAAGGAAAGGACAGAAGTGAGGTTACTGACACCTGCACGCAGCGGGATGGAAAGGAAAGGACAGAAGTGAGGTTACTGACACCTGCACGCAGCGGGATGGAAAGGACAGGACAGAAGTGCGGTTACTGACACCTGCACGCAGCGGGATGGAAAGGAAAGGACAGAAGTGCGGTTACTGACACCTGCACGCAGCGGGATGGAAAGGACAGGACAGAAGTGAGGTTACTGACACCTGCACGCAGCGGGATGGAAAGGAAAGGACAGAAGTGCGGTTACTGACACCTGCACGCAGCGGGATGGAAAGGAAAGGACAGAAGTGAGGTTACTGACACCTGCACGCAGCGGGATGGAAAGGAAAGGACAGAAGTGCGGTTACTGACACCTGCACGCAGCGGGATGGAAAGGAAAGGACAGAAGTGAGGTTACTGACACCTGCACGCAGCGGGATGGAAAGGAAAGGACAGAAGTGCGGTTACTGACACCTGCACGCAGCGGGATGGAAAGGAAAGGACAGAAGTGAGGTTACTGACACCTCCACGCAGCGGGATGGAAAGGAAAGGACAGAAGTGCGGTTACTGACACCTGCACGCAGCGGGATGGAAAGGACAGGACAGAAGTGAGGTTACTGACACCTGCACGCAGCGGGATGGAAAGGAAAGGACAGAAGTGAGGTTACTGACACCTGCACGCAGCGGGATGGAAAGGAAAGGACAGAAGTGCGGTTACTGACACCTGCACGCAGCGGGATGGAAAGGAAAGGACAGAAGTGAGGTTACTGACACCTGCACGCAGCGGGATGGAAAGGAAAGGACAGAAGTGCGGTTACTGACACCTGCACGCAGCGGGATGGAAAGGACAGGACAGAAGTGAGGTTACTGACACCTGCACGCAGCGGGATGGAAAGGAAAGGACAGAAGTGAGGTTACTGACACCTGCACGCAGCGGGATGGAAAGGAAAGGACAGAAGTGCGGTTACTGTCACCTGCACGCAGCGGGATGGAAAGGAAAGGACAGAAGTGAGGTTACTGACACCTGCACGCAGCGGGATGGAAAGGAAAGGACAGAAGTGCGGTTACTGACGCCTGCACGCAGCGGGATGGAAAGGAAAGGACAGAAGTGAGGTTACTGACACCTGCACGCAGCAGGATGGAAAGGAAAGGACAGAAGTGCGGTTACTGACACCTGCACGCAGCGGGATGGAAAGGAAAGGACAGAAGTGAGGTTACTGACACCTACACGCAGCGGGATGGAAAGGACAGGACAGAAGTGCGGTTACTGACACCTGCACGCAGCGGGATGGAAAGGAAGGACAGAAGTGCGGTTACTGACACCTGCACGCAGCGGGATGGAAAGGAAAGGACAGAAGTGAGGTTACCGACACGTGCACGCAGCGGGATGGAAAGGAAAGGACAGAAGTGCGGTTACTGACACCTGCACGCAGCGGGATGGAAAGGAAAGGACAGAAGTGAGGTTACTGACACCTGCACGCAGCGGGATGGAAAGGAAAGGACAGAAGTGCGGTTACTGACGCCTGCACGCAGCGGGATGGAAAGGAAAGGACAGAAGTGAGGTTACTGACACCTGCACGCAGCACAGTGGACTATGAGAGGATGGATGGTACACCCCCCAAGAAGTGAGGTTACTGACTTGCACACCCCGGATGATGAGAAGGTACTAACTGCCTCTGATTGAGAGAGGGATCTGACCTGCACGCCCCTGGGAATCGGCTGCAAGACTTGGAGGTCAACAGCGAGCAGGAGGGCGAGAATACTGACCTGCACACCCTTGATAAGAGAGGGTGCTGACCTGCACACCCTTGATAAGAGAGGGTACTGACCTGCACACCCTTGATAAGAGAGGATACTGACCTGCACACCCTTGATAAGAGATGGTACTGACCTGCACACCCTTGATAAGAGAGGGTACTGACCTGCACACCCTTGATAAGAGAGGGTACTGACCTGCACACCCTTGATAAGAGAGGGTACTGACCTGCACACCCTTGATAAGAGAGGATACTGACCTGCACACCCTTGATAAGAGATGGTACTGACCTGCACACCCTTGATAAGAGAGGGTACTGACCTGCACACCCTTGATAAGAGAGGGTACTGACCTGCACACCCTTGATAAGAGAGGGTGCTGACCTGCACACCCTTGATAAGAGATGGTACTGACCTGCACACCCTTGATAAGAGAGGAGCCTGAGTCGCATGTTCGTGCTGCTCGCACTGGTCGTCGTTTTCCGCGTCAGCGTCCTCCTGCGGTCCCGAGCACGCACCGGATGGCAGTGCGTCCTTCCACTGCTCCACAGCGTGTCCCTTTGCCGTCTCCTCCAGAGTCCTCTCTTCCTGCTCTTGCTGACCCAGAGTCTGACTCCCTTCGTGCTGCCAGTCATACTGTCACGCGTCTCCTGGCTACTGTTGTCACTGACTCTTCCTTTGAGTCCACTGCTGCGTCTGCCTTAGTT